CATTCGTGCCTTTGCACCTAACTTGTCCTGGTCGGCCACCTACAGACTACCCTCTGTTAGGCTAAAACCGTGAGCGCACCGCACCTCCTTCAGAGAATGTTAATAAAACAAACAGCAACATGGCTTTTCAGACAGTGTAAGTGCAACAGTCTGGATCATACAGGGTTCTGAATCCATAAGTGCTTTATAAAAACACCTGAAAACTGTCTCTGCTCACAGACTTCCCCTCTGCAGTGATTCATTTAGAGAAACCAGTCAGCCTTTACACCTGCTGCACGGGCCAATCAGAAAGGAGCTCTATGATCAATCAGGTGGACTTGATGCAAAACGAGAACTTAGCGAACAATGGTTAATCTCGCCATTTTTAAAAATAACTTGGTATGTATAAACGGGGCCTGAGACATGAAGATACTGAGCAGAGTGTATTCAATCTAAAGCTGCATGTCAGTATATTTTATATTCAGAGTGAATTCAAACTGAAAAAACAACACATTTATTCAGAAGGGAGAAGGAAGGACAAAAATTAGATCAAATTTATCAGCAGACTTTACATTATTACTGATTTATGAGAGTCCTCCTTTAAGCCTTAATGTTCGTTGTATTTAAATATTGCACTGACTGAAACAAACATTTGCTTCTCTTTTGAGTCCCCAGGCCCTCCAGGAGAAGGTCAGATCTGTCTGTGGTGCTAAGTTATCGTCTTGGATCCACCAACAGGTGGATCCACCAACAGGTGTCAGACCAGATGATGAAAATGTGTTTCAGACTGAGTCCTCTAACCTTTGATGTTTTTAGGGCTGTCACACAGAGAAAAAAAATGGGGTTTTAACATCCTAACAAACTTTCTTCTTCTTTGTTTTAATAAAAGAAGTTTACAGGGTCACATGCTCTCCATCATCAGGCCGTGTCACTGACTCTAAATCCAAAGACAGTTCTCCGTTGCTTAGTAGAGGACCGGTACTAGTGGAAGCTGCTGGTCTCTGTGTGATTGGAGCAGCAGGTGTGTGAGCTTCGGGTGCTAAAGAACCTCTCAGAGTGTCACAGCTGATCACATTAAAGCCAACATGCTGACAGGACTGAACACAGCCGCCCTCCTCTTATGAGTCTGCCTTTCAAGCCTCGCTCCTGCCGTCCCTCCCCAGCACTGAGGCCCTGTGTGTGTGTGTGTGTGTGTGTGTGTGTGTGTGTGTGTGTGTGTGTGTGTGTGTGTGTGTGTGTGTGTGTGTGTGTGTGTGAAACGCTGGCTGTTGGGAACCAGCCATCTGACAGGGAGCGACTGCCAACAAGAGCAGAATGCCATTATGAGTGGAGCTGCTGCGGGCCGTCGCCATCGAGAGGAATTCATCACCAGGAGTGATGATGATAATGGACTCTGCAAATGACTTTGGACGAGCAGCGAGTTTGGCAGTGGAGAGGAGTTTGCTCTGACTGGATGTTTGTCTCTGAACCTCAGAAACTGGACAGGGGGCTTTAGAGTCCCAGCTGGAGGGCCAGGGAGGGCCAGGGAGGGCAAGGGAGGGCCAGAGAGCGAGGAGCTGACGCTCTGTACATAGGCTCTGTTTGTGCTGGATCAAAACCCCGCTCAGTGTCAGTCAGTGTGGACTGGTAAGTCAGAAACATGGTGAATGGGGAGCTGGTTTGGTTGGTACAGCAGGTGCACAGAGGCTTTAAGGGATCCCTATTTGGGTCCTGACAGGTAAGGACATCCTGACTGTTGCAGACAGCTTGTAAGGACATCCTGACTGTTACAGACAGCTCATTTTCAGTAAAACTAGGAGACGGTTAAAAAGCGACCATTCCATCTTCCTGTGTATTTACCTTACCTCAACTTTACAATGCATCATGGGACACAATGATTCCCCTACACAAGGTTTGACTGGAAAATAAGACCACCTGTTCCACTGTTGAAAACGGTTTCACTGTTTTCACTCAGTTCAAGAAGTTCACATCTACCAAAGGGAGCTGAGACTTTAAAATAAAAGCATAGTTTTAAAATCAAGGAATCTAACATACAAAGAACAATAAAAAATAATATTAATAATAAAAAATCCTGACCAACACTGGTTCTCTGAGGTACAAAAGTGTCAGTCTCAGGGCTGCTGATGTGGATAAATCATAAATCTGAACATCATTAGAGATGGATGAAGACTGCCTGCTAACCATATCATTTTATTTTGATTCTCATTATCCTGATAATGTATATCAGGATATATGTAATATCCACGATAATCGTGAGGTGAGAATTTGGTGGGAAAAAAACACAGAATTCAAATGAATAAGTTTTCTGACTGTCCCTTGTCCTGGATGGTTCTGGAGGTCCTCACAGTATCAAGCAGTCCCTCCAGATTTACACTATTCAAATCCAGAGGGACATGTCCACCAAAAAGTGAGACGTGTAACTATATTACCCACAAGGCCTCCACTGTTGTAGGCGAAGCCTAAGTGCCTGTAACAGACAGAGTGATGAACAGCAGCTTTTTTAAGGTTGTTTTTCTGAATCTCAACACCCGGTGAAGACCTGCATCAGTGGGCTGCTCTGAAGGTCCATTCTCAGTCTGTCGGTAAAAGGAAGTTTGTGTGGCTCTGACCAGGTGAGTCACCCAAACTGTACACATTCAGACTAATGACACACGTTGGGTTTGTACATTAAAATGAACCACTGTCAATAATTGACCCTCTCCCTCTGATCGGCTCTGAAAGGGACTCTAAAATAATTGTTTAACTTTGCCTGAGAGGGAGAACTCATCAAACTTTACTGGCCTGGCGTTGCCTCCACAGGAGAACAGAACCACAGGGGAGCAGAGCCAATGTGACGGCTCCATTATGATCCACAAAAAAGCCATAGTAATAAGGCTGAGGCTCATTATGAAAAAGGACAAACAGAGTATCAGTGAGGTTTGATTTCTGCCTTTGACTGAGTCCTTGTCAGTGAACGCCTCATTAAAGCTGCACACATGAAAGATTGCACATCTCCATGTGATACAGGTTTCCATGATGAGAGCAGAGGTTTCTGAGGTGAAAGACTGTTGACCACATAATTAGCAGTTTAAACCCCGTCTCCTCCATAAACGCTGCGCTCTGTCATGCAGATTCACATGTGAGCTGCCATTTTAATTGGTTAAAGAGTTTAAAGTGACAACAGAGCGCCTTCAGTCTGTCTGTCTGTCTGTCTGTCTGTCTGTCTGTCTGTCTGTCATGCAAACATCTCTCTGGGTTTGTTTACAGCGCTCTGAGCTCTCTCTGGCAGCTAATGTGACAGTTGCACTCTGGCTTTCAGTTCAGTGGACATGTTGTTTTGGAGAGAAAGCAGGAGGATGGTACCCAACTTATCTGATTACCGATGATGTACATCACACATCTCCGGCCCACTTCTCAGAGAGACAGCCAGGCGAGAAGGGGAGGATGTTGGAAATCCATAAACAAGGCTGAGTGACAGGGAGGCAGACGATTTGTGAGGCTCAGCTGAAGATCCGTGCCACATGCAGGCCACTGAACAGAGGATGTCAGAGTAGAGCAGGCACACAGCAGGACTCTGAGGGTCAGATCAGCAGCCACACCATCCCACCTGATCAGCTGTTTCAGATACAGCTGCACATCCCAGAAGAACTTCACTGAAACCTCCTCCAGATAAGTCTCTGGGAAGTCTCTTTCCACACCCTCCCCCAATGCCTCCCAGTCTGACAGGCTCTGAAGTACCAGGACCTGTTCAGCAGAACTGCAGACTGGGGGCAGGGGCAGTGTGCAGCTCAGAGGGACCACATGAAGACTTTCAGGCCCCCTGTGGGTTTCACACCTGAAGCTCAGGTGTCCTGGTTCCTCAGTTGCTTTATATCAGCTGTATAGAAATATTTGGAGTAGACTCTGTTCTCTCTGCATCTCTGCTGTAATAATCTGATCCATGTTTGAGCCCCCCCGTCTATTTGTTTTACTGATTTATAAAATCCACCACAGGATGTCAGCTGACTGTACACATTCTAATCTCAATTCACTATGCCTATGTTTCAGAGAGGAGCCCCTCAGTCTGGACCCCCTAGCAGAGGCAGGGGTCCATTAATATGCATCAGTGTGCTAAAAGCTGCAGACTGACCTACATGACGAGGTTCAGTATAAACTCACACCGGGCGCTAACATTAGCCACCACTGCCACTGTATCTTAAATAGCCTCATCCTAAACCTACGGCTTTGTGGAGAGGCTCTTAAACCTTAGGTCACAGGGGTCACTACAAGAGCCAGGCCCTCCACAGCTAAGGCCCTCTCCACTGCCGACAAAATGGCTGCCATTAGTCCATGGAGAGCAGCACTAACGTCCCCATTAGCTGCACTTTAAACTCCCTCAGTGTGTGCAGGCTCTCAGACCAGGACTCTCAGCCTCTTTCAGGTAATCCTGCAGCCCTCCACCCTCAGCTGGATCAATTAACAGATTTGTTTGCTTTCTCTCTTCCGACCTCATTAGCATATCAGCTGGCTGACACAGCGCTGGGTTCAAGAGCTCTGTTGACTCTGTTCCTGTTGCTGTGCTCTGTCCCCTAGATCAGGCAGCAGAGGGGGAATTATCATCAGTCTGCAGCCACTGTGTGGATGGAAAAGTCAGAAACAGAAAGTTAAAAGATGTTAGCAAGCGCTGCAGGCATCCTGTTGTTGACTCGCATTCCTGTTCGCTCTTCGTCAAACAGGAAGTTAGCATTTCAGATGCTAAAGGACAGCTGCTGCTGGCAGGCCTCTCTCTCTGGTGGGGGATTCAGTGTTTGAGGCAGTAATCTGTCAGGGCGGGTGTGTGTGAGTGTGTGTGTGTGTGTGTGTGGGGGGGGGGGGGTAGCCCCCAATGGGGAGCAGAGAGATGCAGCTCGGGGGGTTTTGCATAGCAATGAGGGCAGACAGATGTAAAACTCCACTGTAGGTTTTAACAGCCTCACAGCTCACTGCGTGCTCGCCTTCCCATGATGCAACATTGCTGCAAAGACACAAAGCTGCTGTTTGACTGACCCAGCAAATCTGTTTATTTTTGAGCTACGCTGCTTTCTATGTGTGAAGCTACAGAATCACAGCTCCGTTTCTTTACTCTGCAGTGGAATGAGGACAGAGGAAGGACAGAGAGAGAAGAGAGGGAGGACAGATGGATGAGAGAGAGAAGACAGAGGGAGGAGACAGAGAGGACAAAGAGAGGACAGTGGGAGGAGAGAGTGCGAACAGCGAGAGGACAAAGAAAGGACAGAGAACATATAACTTCAGTGTCTCAGGTAAATATAAAGATGTAAATTAAAAATGTAAACAATATTTAATGTTCCTGTACAGAAACTGAAAAGAATGTGATGATCGTTCTGAACCCCTTAGATTAAGATGGTCTTCACTGGTCCAAGATAATAATCAGGGATTACACAGAAAGATAATTACTGTTCTCATGATGAGCTGTCAGAGGTGAGTGCTGGTTAATGACTGTCAGCTCACATCATGGCTGGAATCAGCACATTTATAGACAGTCAGAAAGAGGAGGAACATCAGAAACCAGACATACACATACGCACGTGCGCGCACACACACACACACGTTGTAAATATGGGTTAGTCTAGCCGGCTGTTTAACTGAGCTAAATATGCTAAGGTCTTCTAAAACAACCACAGCAACTTGCATCATCACTGCTGCTGCTGTTTTCACTGCCACATCCTGCAAATAAGTAAATGACTCAACTTTTCTCATTGTACACAAGCCTACAACTAAACAGATTTCTTTAGTTAACATGTATGTTTTTCTAATCTGACACAATTTCCTGGATGACAAACAGATGGCTGCATGGCTGCATTAAAAAAAACTACTTCAGTCAGGACCACTTTGTAAGGAAGTTTATTACATTGCCAATACACAACAATAACATGTGAGATTAAGATTTGGCGGTGTGGCTCTGTTCTGGAACCTCCCTCCCCTTCCACATGCATATGTGGGCGGCCTGAAGCAGGGAGAGCTCTCCTCCTAGCCTGTCCAAGTGCCGACTTGGACAGCCTGAGGGAGGGAGGCAGCGCAAAAAAAAAACCCCAAAACAACCATACCAGGCACTCGTACGCATGTATGAGTGGACCATTAGCGATGAGTGATGACAACAGGCAGCCTGCACTCGAAATGCAGATAATTCACTGCATCTCAGATAGTATTCAAACCTTAAAATAAATTAATGAGCTTTAGCATGATCTCACACATTTATTACAATAATTCATAGGGCACCCTGCTTTTTGAGCTTCCAGAATGTCTTCCAGACTGTATAAAGAATGGACAGAGTCTGCCTCCTCGCTGGGTGAAGCCACTCCGAGAACAGCACCCTCTGTTGAAGGGCTGCAGTATAGGTCATAAATCCCGCCTCCGCCAGCAAAGCTTATGGGCCTGTGGACAAACTTTAAAAATTTATTTCACAGAACATAAATTTTTCTCCGCCCTGCTTGCGATGTTGACATGTAGCTACAGTAAGACTGGTTTGTGCTCAAGTCCTCTTTTTTCTGTGAAGTTCCATTTTTAAAAGTTATTAGGGGGTTCATGTTTTCTATGATTGACACCTGATACAGCCTTTGAGCATTCAGGGATTGCGTAGCTCTACTGGGGGATACGCTGTTTGAGCAAGGCGTCATCACAGCGACTTTCGGCGACTGTGCGACTGAATGCGCGTATCGCTAATGCGCAGCGCTGGTTTCAGGAAATGAAGAAAAATCCTGGAAATACCGTGCGCTTTTTGGCTTCAAATCGGTATACTGGCGGGAGGCGGAACCAAGTTGTCCATAGTATATACAGTCTATGGTCTTTAGCCTCAGGATGGAGGTAACGTTCATAAGCCGATGAGGACCATCTGCCCATTGACTTCAGCGTTGCCACAGAGGTTGATGCAGCTGCCGTTGTCGCTGCACCGATGCGCAGAGAATGGGTGGTGTAGCGATCAGAAGGTAAACCACAGGTCTGGCAGAGGAGGCGAAGGCAGGAGGCAAACCAGGCCTTGGACATGGGCTTCCCCTTTTCAGTAGCAAACAGCGGTTCTTTTAGCATGAGGGCGGCTTCTCAGGAAGCGAATCATGGAGGACGGAGGACAAAAGCAGAATTAATGGAGGAAATATAGATTAATATTCCTTGCTTATCCATATCAGTTTTGGAATGCTTAAGAAGTAAGGTGAAGTAATGAGGGTGCAGTGATACATCAGCAATATTGAGGTTGTGACAAGGGTTAAAGGAAACATTGCTTGTAGTAAATTCCCCGCCTCTGAGAAACCATAGAACGCTGTGAGAATGACAGTTTCTAACAACAAATCTGTGTAAAGGCCAAAGCACCCAGCTCTTTAATGAGAAATTCATTTGTGCACGAGAGGGAGAGTGAAAGGGAGACGAATGTCTTTGCCTTGTGGTTTTTCTCTCTTAAGTCCATTTAGCAGGAGGCGGATCGATGGGTTTTGGAGCAGGCTGATGGTCGATGGGTCCAGACAACGAAGGTGGAATTGAATACCTTTATAGATGAAGGCTGCATCTTTTTTGATTCAAAACAATGGACCATGAATGCACATATCATGTTGATATTAACAGGTGAAAGTGGTACGGAGAAAGTGGCAGAAAACAAAACGAAAAGGACCACGCTGCATCATACATTTTTAATGATGATTTAGCTAATCCTGACCGCATGTTAGTGAGTGGCGGAGCTCATATAGGACTGCAAGGTAGAACTTAATCTAGCACTGTTTGAATGAACAGGGGGCAGATCAAGCTGGTCGGAGCGGCCTCCGGGCACAGCTGGTGAAATTTCTGAAATTTAAATTGGGACAAAGAATCGGCAATGTGATTATCCAAACCTGGAATGTGAACTGCTCTGATAGTAAAATTATTCATTACAGAGGTCCATACCAGACGCCTTACTTATCTGTCGATAAATGGGACTGACCATAGACTGTATATAAGATGGACACCGTGGTTCCGCCTTCCGCCTGTATACAGATTTGAAGCCAAAAAGCTCTCGGTAATTCTGGGTTTTTCTCCACTTCCTTGAAACCAGAGCTGTGCAGTAGCGTTGTGCGCATTCGGCCGCGCAGTCGCCGAGAGTCCCTGTGATGACGCTCGGCTCAAACAGTGTATTCCCCCGGAAGAGCTACGCAATCCCTGAACGCCCATAGGCTGTACCAGGTGTCAATCATAGAAAACATGAACCCCCTAATAACTTTTAAAAATTGAGCTGTACAGAAAAAAAAGGACTTGGGCACAAACCAGTCTTACTGTAACTATATGTCAACATCACAACCTGGGGGGAGAAAAAATTTGTCCACAGTCCCATAAGCTTTGCTGGCGGAGGCGGGATTTATGACCTGTACTGCAGCCCACCATCAGAGGGTGCTGTTCTCGGAGTGGCTTCACCCAGCGAGGAGGCAGACTCTGTCCATCTTATATACAGTCTATGGGACTGATGAGTGGCCCTTGTTAATAACATTGACAGCGGCTTCATAATCGCAGAAAAGAGAATTTGTTTTCGTGACCAGCTTTCATTTCACAACAGACATGCAATGACAATAGGATATATTTCCATTAGGGCAGTGGAAGCTATGTTAGCTGGCAAGGAGGTTATTTCTTTTGGCCACACATCAGCCAACCACTGATTATTGAAAAAAAAATGAAAACCTACAGAAGTTGCAGCATCTGTGTACAACTGAAGAGCAAATGAAGATTCAAAGTTCTCATTGTAAAAGAATGAAATGCCATTTCATTTATCGAGTATTAGTGACCAGAATCAAAGCTCCGATCTGCAGCCAGCATCCAGCTTTACTAAGTCATTGACTGACTTAGAGAGGTCAAGGAGTCTGGATACAAAAGAAAGCAAAGAAAGCAGCTCTCTTTTGATATGAATACAGCATCTAGAGCATTCCTCATTACCTTCCTGGTGCAATTTAATTTCTCAAGAGGCAGAGAGGCTTGCATCAAGCAGCTATCTAAGGTGATACCCAGAAATTCAATGACATGTTACGGACCTAACATCTTCTCCTCTGAAAGAGGGATACCCAGTCTGGCAACAGCACGCCTGAGGGCTGAAATACAGCGATCTAAGTTAGAGTGTGGATAATCGACCAGCAAAAATCATGCAGTAAGTGGAGCACGAAAGGCAGTCTACAATTGTTGAGGAGGATCCAGCAGAGAGCCTCTGATAGAGTGTCAAATATTTTTGGTTGCTGCGACAACCAAAAGTGAGTCTAACTGCAAAATACATTTTTTCCCTCGACTTGACGCCAAATAAGTGCCACTGAGACGGATGCAAAGACATTACTTTAAACGCATCTGTAATATCCGCTTTGGCTCACCACGCATTTCTGCCTTTTTTTTCCTGTGAATTTGCGAGTAGCTACACCTATAGGATTAATGCAAGTTATAGGAAAAGGAGATTTAACGTATGGGCCGATCATGAAACCTTTTCTAACTTCTTTTGCCAGTAGTTCATCCACTACCCCAGGCTCCTTTAAAGCAGATTGCAGGTTGTTACATACAAAAGACACTTTTGGAAGCCAAATCAGTCCATCTAGAAAACCTTGAACAAGACCTGTGATCAAATAATTCACAAAACAGCAGTTTGGATGGTTTTCCAATGCTTTCCCCAGCTCAGAGATGTTGACTGGGGTTGATTGTCAGTGAAGTGGAAGCCGGTGCCGGGACCCATCCCTGAGCTGAGGAGGTAGATAGACCAGCCAAACTCGAGAAGAGGGTGCCTGCCGAAGATGCAGCGTTTGCTTCCAGGGCCTGGATTCTAGAGTTCATGCTGTCGATCGATGACTGAATGTCGGACAGAGCGGACAGGACAAGGTTGACCTTCGAGGTGGCAGGGGTGGATGGAGGGGCGTGTGCCTGCTTAGCTGCAGGGACAGGAGTTGCAGCGGAATCGTGAGAGGTGTTTTTTCTCTTCCTTGAACATTTCCTGGGGGCAGAGGATGACAGAACTGCAGGAGGATGTTCGGAATGGACATTTGACAGAAATAATACACAGTAATCTTCGTGGGAAGCTTCGATTGGAGCGACAATTTGATTTTTAAATAAGGCTTCCAGGAGCTTTGGCACTGGCCAATCATTGATGCTGGAAGTCGGGAGAGTCTTGCCTGCTAAACGAGCGCTATGCTGGGTGGCGATGGGGCTACCTTCTCCAGAGGCTTCCTCAGCTTCGGATCACTGGGACTGAGTCTCCCAAGATGTAGTCATCATGCCATGGAACGGCATCACGGACAGGAGTCGACATGATGAGCAGCAAGGTGAGACGCAGCATGAACAGCAATTTAGGGTTTCTCATTAGATGGATGTAAGTGCAAGCAGCATGCAGAGGAAGCAGCAGAGGCAGGGAGGCTGAAGCAGATTTAAATAGAGCGCCCAATAAGATCAGCTGACCTGGTTGTGATATGTGGCAATCGGATGGAGTGAGCCTGCTCGGGATAGCCCGCCCATATCAGCTGATGAGCGAGAGCTGGGCAGAGCAGAATGACTCCGTGGCCTGACTGAACTGCTTTATTTTTTAAGACCTTTCTTCACAGGGGATCATTTTGAACTCTTCTATCATCATTATCGGTCTGTTATTTTTATTTCATACTTGCAACTCTTTTCACATTTGAGACCCAAACAGTAGATCACAGCATGCATTAGTAAATGTCTCCAGTATACAGAGCGGATCTGTGTTGTTATAAAAGGCCGCTGTGTCTGTGTATTTTCAGAGTGGCTGTCTAACACACTGTCTTTTTAATCAAAGAGCGTTTCTGTTTGGGAAATAAATAGTTATTTTAATTAGCTGCTACATAAACAACCAAGATGACACTAAGTCATTTTACAGGTTAAAGAGTGACATATTTATGTCATTTAAACAGTAACTCAGATTTCAGGGTCAGTAATGCCATTGTAGTTGTGTTTAAAAAACCCTCCTGGAGGATAAAACTCACATTAGATTGAACATATAAATCCACAGCAAAGGTCAAAACATCTGCGTTTTTTTCTGTCCTCTTTATGAACAGATGTCACTAATGATACCACATCATAGAGAAACCATGAGGGACACTTACTCAAAGTTTACCACATCAAAATAAAACTTTTACAAACTTAATATGATACACCAGGAGGAGGATTTCTGTCTCTGTAGAAACCGATATCTGCGTGAAGATCAGCTAACAATCTGTTCTAGATCAAACATTTACACTGAGACACTAATCTGACTAATGCTCAGTCACTGAAGACAATCAGAGTTTAGATTTACAGACTTCCCTGAATGTATCAGAGATGATGGAGCTGACCTCCATTCAACTAAGGATGAATAGATGTCTGAATGACTGATGTTACAGTAACACAGAGACTCACCGCAGACAGATGAAGAACACATAGTTTCCTGTCAGTTCTGTTTGGAGGAAAATATCTAATCAGCTGGTCACATGGCAGAGACTCTGGGCAAACTGAGCATGAGAATAGGGAAGAAATCAGATTGAACAGCTGATGGAGGAGGTCAGAGAAAACATCCTGACTATCTTCTGTGCTCACCATTCAGCTAAGACTAACTGAGGCTACAGTTCATACGAGTTCACCAAACTAGAAACAGCAGGTTGGAGAAATGATACCTCTTCTGCTTAGTCAGGATTAAACAGTCTGAAAGCATGGATCCATCCTGTCAGGCAGGTAGAGTATCAGTGAAAGTCCTCAGCCATATTATCACTGAGCATCCTTTTATGACATCAGTATGACAGTAAGCTCATCAGATCTCAGTCCGAGAGCACCTTTTGGGGATCAATGTAGTCACATGATGAATCTGCAGTAACTGAATGGTGCTTTCAGGTCAGCATGGACTAGCATCTCTGAGAAGTCTTTACTCCATGACTCAGGATGAGTCTGAAGGGGCTCCAGCCCACTGTTCTTTAAAGTGCCCCTAATAAACCCAGAATCAGTTAGAGGCACTGTGTTGATGAAACCCACCTTTGTTGTTGGGTTTATGGGTGTGAATGTCTGGCCCTGTAAACTGGATCAAAGTGACAGACCAGAATGAAGACTCTGGGGGAAATCCTGTCTGTCTTCCCTTTGTCCTGCTGTGATCTCCCGTTCTGCAGATGAAGTGTCCTCCTGCAGACGGCGTTGGTAAACTTGCACACTGGCAACTCCTTTTCCTCACAGAGACTCACAATAGGTGTAATGAGGCATCAGGATGAAGTAGTTTGTTGTCTGGTGTAAACAGATGGATGTAGGCTGTGATTAAAACCAATTAACTCCCCCCCAGATCTAAATAACTTTCTGTCATTAATGCACATATTTTACACCTCATTAGAGGCCTGTGATTGGAGGTGGAAAAATACCACACAAGAAAGGAGAGGAAGGAGAGGGACTCATTTGCATTTTAGATTCACAATATGCTGAGGACGAGGGGGGGGGGGGGCTGAGTGGCTGAAAACACTCGAGGCCACATCTGTGTGAGCTAAAAGAGCTTCAGGAAGCGACACATGACTTCCTCTAATTAGTTGTAAGCTTTTCATTTTTTTGGTAGTAATGTGGACAGTCACACAACCCATTCCTCCCTGTCGCCTCCCCCCTCCTCCTCCCCTGGTGCTGAAATGTGCATCGTGGGGTGAAACAGGCAAGATGTTAACTAATTTTATTTTTAATCTTTCCTTTTGCCGCCGAGCGTGTCGTGCGGGCACTGTGTCTTCTGAAATTTCCTCGCCTCTTTCATGGAAACATATTGGGGCAGAATTCGCCAGCTGTCGGCCTCCTCTCCCTTCTGCTGCCATTATCCTCAAGCCCCGCCCACCCTTATGTCCGCCCAGCCTGCCAGAGAGTGCCGCCCGCTTCAAAATCAAAAGGTGGCTCTTTTCAATCCAGGCCACTGTCACAAACATCCCCAAAACCTGAACCACCACCCTGCCCCACCACACCCCCTCCACCACCCGTGCATACAACCTTCACTAACATGTCCTCCATGTTTGCTTCCACACTGTATATCATACCCAGCACACAGCTTTGGCTCTGGAGTACGTGATAGTGCCAGGCGTGTGACCATATGCCACCCCTTCACCCCCCGCCCCCTTTGCAACCTTACCTCCCTTATCTGATTCTCAACATATCTGTCCATCCATCAGGACACCATCACACCACAAGAAGAGGATTCACAGGTTCAACAGCCTCCAGCTTCACTTCTTCCCTGCCTCTGGTCTGTTTACATCCACAGAAATCTGGGCTACCCCCTGAACAGGACTTGTGACCTGTGTACCTGGAAATGCATAGCCCCGAATTTAAATAAATGAAAGTCTTTTTTATCTTATAAGAGGTGTTGGGTAAATTAGATAAAGATCTAAGTTGAAGAAAAAAATTAAATACTTTTTTTTTAATAAGTTTAACATAGAAATGTTTTATTTAGAAAAAAAAAGTGGGAAAAAAAACAGTTTTATTAAAAAATAAGCTTTATAAAAAAAGTTTGATAGGAAAGAAGTTTCATAAAGAAAGAAGTTTTATGATAAAATAAGTTTAATAAAAAAATTGTAAGTTTGATGAATAAAATAAATTTGATAAATACATGTTTTTTTTATTCACTTTTTTCTTGAATTTCTTCAGTTTTTTTTATAATGAGGAGAAATTTCACAGAAAACATGACTCATGAAATCATCTTTCAAATCTGCTGTGTAAATAGTAGGCACCCCTGTCCTGTCTGCATGTTTGCCTTGCTCTTAAAGGGAATGGGAGATCATCTTACACCAAAAAAACATGCCTTAAAACATAAGACCTCTTTGCTCCCTGCCCCTCACTCCAGACTCAGACCAGTGCTGCAGTAAAATAATAGGACTCTGTCAGTGCATGAATGATATTGCAAAGTCAGGCCATATTTGGGATCATGAAGCAGAAAGGATCATCTTACGATGTGACTCCTCTCAGCACCCAGAACTCTGAATTTGACTGAACCTGCAGCTGATTTTATCCACATGCACACGTTTAGTTTTTTAGATTCTTCCCCTCAGAGTCATTTTCCATGAACTTGGTTTCTGGCTCGTGGAAGGCTCTTCTCTTTGTTGCACTGATACTTTTCAGCTCAGATCAGTCCCTGGTTTCAAATCCTGTGTTGGTTTTTTTCTCCTTTATTCATGCATTATGGTCCTTATTACACTGGTATATGTGCAGTGCCGTACTTTTATTAATATCCCCCACAATAAGCGTGTGATCTCCTGAGCAGCTTGTCCTCCGGATTATGTCTGGCTGAGCGACTCCGTTGACCCTAAGGCTCTGTGTCAGATGCTGCTTAAGGACCTGGGGGCTGAGGGGGGCTGGGGAGGCCTCCCTGATGTCCTCTAATGGGGTCCAGCCTCCACAGAGCTCTCACACATCTGCATGCAATGATACCTCTCCTCACAGTCAGGCCTGTTGGATCTGAGAGCCTGTCATACTGAGAGAAAGACTGAGAGTCATTGAAGGACAGGAGGGTCTGTGCTCTTCTAGAGGAGGAAAGAGGATAGAGGATATCTCTCTAGAAATCAACATACAGTGGCACAAGGAGCTGGTTTCTCTGTTAGTCCAGGAACTGTGCTGACGTCCCAACAGAACCAGTACGGAGAAAGTATGGAGAACACCCTGGTTCTGTTGTCTGTATTTGAAGTACAGTGGTACATTTATGACAGAAATATGGGAGTGTTTGCTGGTACAGATCTTTTTCTGGTTTGTGGATGTTTGCAGAATCCTGACTCTTTCTTTGAGCCTTTTACAGTGTTCTGATCCACAAATATGGTGATATGTCCATTCACCCCTTAGCCGCCTGGTCCACCTTAAACGAACCCGGGTCTGTTCCCCTGATGGTCAGGTTCCCCTGATGGTCATGTTCTTTGGGCATGCTATGAAATCTCAGACTTCAGTGTGGTTTGTTTGAGGTGTAAAAGTAAAGCTGGACCTGAAACTGTACCTTCAAAAAGGTTCTGATTTTCACTGTTGATCCTAGAGACCCTGATAATCTGGTTCTCTTAGAACAATTGCTTTTGTACTGTCAATCATTAGATCCTCTCATCACAGTTAGACAGCTTTGTCAGCAGTAAGGGAAAGGGTCTCAGGTGGTCTTAGTCCAACCTGACAGATAGAACCTTCTCTATCTGTAGGATTATTTCTCTTAGACTTGTGGTATCCCATGAGAGGTGTTGCCACAGTTACTTCAAAAAAGTATTTTGATTACTGATTATGGATTACTTCTTTAAAAGTAACTTAGTCACTTTACTGATGACTTGATTTTAAAAAGTAAGTTAGATAAGTTACTTTTTAAGGTACACCCAGAAGCCTCAACATATAATTGACAACAATTTTCTTTCCAACACTCACTTTATTGGAAGTGTAATTTTAACAGGAATGTCAAAAAATACATATCTTTAAATAATTAAATAAATAAATAAATAGATAAAGATAGTCTTTCTTAACTGACAAAACATCAAGATTTTGATTTACTAAAACATGATTTTGATTTACTAAAGTTAATGAAAGTGAGTGAATATGCTCTAACATTTTAACCTACATTAACTTTTGTGTAGATATATTTTTGGATGTGGATGAATTTAGGATCACTCAAGTAAGTGAATATTTGAATCATGAGGTTTGTATACTTAAGTGAGGCTGGTCCTTGAAGAGGATGGGACAGGTTCACCGAAGGTTCGGGTTACCAGTGGTTTGAGAGGTTTGGCTCAGCAGAGGACTGGAGTCAGCCAAGAGATGGGTCAGGAGTCACAGCACTCGGGCCTAAATGCAAAAAACAGCACCTTGTGAATCCTATGGACGCTATTTTGGTCTCACCATAAAACTCTGGCACAGAGGATGACTTTGGGCCCGCTGTGTGGCGTTCAGAGGTGACATTGGAATCAGGCTGAGAACTAAGAAAAAGAGGCTTGATAGCCAGTCAATACTATTTCAAAACAGTTGAAGTTTCAAAACTTTAAGACGATGTTAAAGAAAAATTTAATCAATGTAAATGAACACGTGGCAGAAAACTTAGAAGACTAAGAGAAAAAATAAAACTAAGTAGTAGGAGTAACAGCTAAGAGGGAAATAAGAGGATCAGAGAATAAAACACAGAAAAGAGTGAGCACCCCAGCTTTACTGGTTTTATCTCCTTCACACTGGGAGTGTCTCTGAGGTGTGTGCGTGTGAGGAGAGAGAGGAGGGGTTATTGAGCCTCCTGCTGCAGCTCCTTGAGGGGAGACCTTCAAGATCTCTGATTATTTGATCTAACTTATACCTTTGACTGGTAAAGGAGTCAGATCTGATTCTCACTCACTATGATTAATATCATTGAATGCTTGGTTTCATGATAAATGATTTGATACTAAACACATATGAAGAAATATAGAATCACATCAAACATTCTCATTATGATTTAAGTATCACGTTGAACATATTCAATTACTCTGAAGTGAAACAGGTAGTAACAAATAGAAACTGTAAGTACATGCAAATGAACTTCATCAAGATTCACAAGTTCGATCCAAGATGGCGCCAGGAGTAGGTGCCCTGGTGTTTTGGTGCTCATTGTTTTGTCTGTTTTTGTGCGTTGACTGTGTGTCATCGTGCTCCTACACCCGTGTGGAGCTTCTAAACATTAGATCAACTACACCCACAGACATTATGCCAGTTTTTTTAGCATCTGCTGCTGAACTGGTCCACTTTTTGGCCAAAAGAGTGAGACGCCGGCGAAGGGGAGAGTGAGCTGGGGTGCTCGCGCATCTCAGACAGCGAGGCACGCGTACGCCCTTACCTGGGATTTTCCTCTCCAACGTCTGCTCACTCAGCAACAAGATGGATGAGCTAGCACTGCTGATGAAGAGGAATAGAGACTTCTCCTCATCTTGTGTTCTGTGCTTCACGGAGACGTGGTTAAATGCACAGACACCGGAATGCGCCATACAACTTGAGGGTTTTCAGCTCCTCCGCGCAGACAGAGATCGTGTACTCTCAGTTGGAAAAACAAAAGGTGGAGGAGTCTGCTTCTACATCAACAACGCCTGGTGCTCCGATGTGACAGTGATCTCCCAACACTGTTCTCCTTCTCTGGAATATCTCTTCATAAACTGCAAACTGCTCTACTCTCCATGTGAGTTTGTCTCATTCATACTCTGCTCTGTTTACACTCCACCGAGTGCGGATGTGCACGAGGCCGAGCGCGCGCCTGCGGAGCAGGTTATGAGCTTAGAGAGGAATTTTCCGGACTCCTTAGTTATAATCCTTGGTGACTTTAACGAAGGAAATCTCAGTCAGGAACTACCAAAATACACAAATTCATTTCTGTGAAGACAGCATCATCCCACAACATACCAGGGTGAAATACAACAATGACAAGCCCTGGTTTACATCAAAATGCACAACGCACGTCTGGAGCAAAGATTCTCTGCCAACGACCCTGCCTTGGTGTGGAGGGGGTTGAAAGAGATTACAAACTACAAGCCCAAAGCACCTCGTTCAACTGACGACTTGAAACTAGCCAACGACCTGAACGACTTCTATTCACGCTTCAAAGTCATGGACTCACATCCCCTCAACCCCCTACACAACTGGAAATCTAACCACTTTTGGCCTCCCCCCTCCCCCCGCTGCCCTCTCGGTCCATGAAGAGGAAGTAAACAGACTGTTTAAAAGGCTGAGTCCACAAAAGGCTGGTGGCCCAGACGATGTCTCTCCTGCCACTCTGAGACACTGCACTGATGAGCTAGCTCCAGTCTTCACGGGGATCTTCAACACCTCCCTTGAGTCATGCCATGTTCCAGCCTGTTTCTAGTCCTCCATCAATGTTGCCATCCCCAAGAAACCTTGCATAACTGGACTCAATGACTACAGACCAGTGGCTCTTACGTCTGTAGTCATGAAGACCTTTGAACGCCTGGTTTTTGTCCATCACCGACCCCCCCCCCCCCCCCCCCACAGACTTCCCGACAGACCGGAGTCAGTGTGTGCGGCTGGAGAAGAATGTTTCGGACACTCGGGCTCTTAGCACAGGATCTCATTTAGTTTGCGGATGACACCACCCTCATCGGACTCATTTTGGATGGAGATGAGTATGCCTACAGGAGGGAAGTGGACTGGCTGGTGACCTGAGCTCAACGCCCAGAAGACAGTGGAGATGATTGTGGACTTCAGGAAAGCCACAGTCCCCCTGCCCTCCCTCAACCTCACCAACTCCCCCATCACCACTGTGGACTGTTACCGCTTCCTTGGCACCACCATCACCCAGGACCTCAAGTGGGAGCCAACCATCAGCTCCCTCATCAAGAAGGCCCAGTAGAGGATGTATTTCTTGTGGCAGCTGAGGAAAGCCAAGCTGCCAGTCCAGCTGATGGTGCAGTTCTACACGGTCATCATCGAATCCATCCTATGCTCCTCCATCATGGTTTGGTACACCGGGGCCACTGCCAGGGACAGACACAGACTGCAGCGCATTGTAGGCTCTGCTGAGAAGGTGATCAGCTGTAGCCTTCCATCTCTCCATGACCTGTACGTCTCCAGGACTCGGGGCCGAGCAGGTCGGATCACAGCTGACCCTTTTCACCGTGCACATGGACTATTTGAGACACTCCCCTCAAGCAGGAGGCTACGGTTCATTCAGACCAGAACCTCCTGCCATAAGACCAGTTTCTTCCCCTCTGCCGTTAGACTCATGAACACTTTATAACTCAGTCACTTTAACTCTGTCACTTTATCACTGGTCACTTTAGTTTAATGTACTTTAGATTTTTAATTGCATTCCTCCCACTGCACTGTAGTTCTAGATAGTTTAGTTGTACATAGCTTTTTATACTTATTGCACATAGCATTGTACATAATTGTACATATTTTTATACTTTATATATTTCTTGCATGCTCTTATTAGTTTTTATTCTAGTATTTTATATTTTTCTCTGTTTATTGTTGCACCATCATGCCAAAACAAATTCCTAGTCTGTGAATCCTGTTCATCGACAATGGCAATAAAACCCCTTTCTGAGTTCTGAGTTCTAATAGGTTCTATATCTTCACATTCAGATTATTCAATGACATTATAACCACTGAATGATTAAAAATATTAAATAAATGATTAAAATAAAAACCAAACATTTCTAAACTATTTCTGTTTCTTAGAGTAAAATTATTATTCATAGTCCATAGATTTAACGCTTAAGGTTCATGAAACAGTCTGGAAAGCTGTTGGTCTAAAGAAACAAAAGAATAAAGAATTTATTCAGTCAGAGTGATAACTTGGCTTCTGGAGCATGTAGAAAAATGGGACACATTTCATTTTTTTGTACTGATTAGTACATTGCTGAATGCATACGATGTTATGATCAGTCATTTGTATTCTTTCTCCAAAGGAATGCTGTTTTTATCAGTATATGGTTGAGCAGGATTTTATGACAGAGGTCTGGAGGTCAGTGTCCAGCTCCTCAGACCTTTGGTTGGATTCCATGTGCTAACACACTTTACAACAGTAAATCTCAAATGGAAGACTTCATTGATTAATGAATACTGGTTTTATCTTATTAGATGGTCAGTGATGGAAAAACTCTGTCTGTGTTCTCCAAATTGACTAATTTAGAAGAGCCAGAGGTTTAGGTCAACCTTCGGTTGGGTCAGTTAGGTAACCTGAAAGTACAAAAAAGTCTGGAAAGATTTATATTATCCTGTGTCCTGGGACTAGATAAGGGACCTTTTCTGTGAGGAAAGTATGAGTTTCACACACAAGGTTGTCTTGATGCTACAGCCTTATTCCTGTGTTGTCAGATCCGATGTCTGAAACATCTCTGAAGCTGATGGGATGAATCCATCTAAATGTCTGTTCTTTAAAAGGCTCAAATCAAACGATTGACGAGATTGTGACAGTCTGAAGTTGTTTTATTGGAGGAAATGCTACCGAAATGACGTCATTTGCCCTGTGTAAATAGGATTTAGATCTATCTGCGTATTTTCAGATGCTTAAGTTAAAGTTTAAACCAGTATCAGAGTTAAATTGGTCAAATCCACCACATTTAACGTGACATTATTAACCTGAGCTCAGAGGTGGCTTTCGATGCTTTGCTAAGACTCTGTTACATGGTCATGTGTATTTGTGTATGCATCGTTTTGCTGTGTCTGTGTTAATTTGCTCTAACGATGGCCCTCATTAGTTCTAATAAATCCTCTGACTTTGCCTCCTTCCTCTGGAGCTGACTTTTCTCCAAACAACGCCTGTTAAATCTCCTGCTTGCATTTTCAGTGTTTGATGCCTCCGTTAATTGGCCATGATTCGAGCTTTTTCTTCTGCTTTCGTCGATGCTCCAATTCAGTGCAGAGCTAATGGCAAATGTCACAGTGAATTGGCAGCTGCATTAGCACGGCGGGCGCGTCTTCATTCTATTTTTTGTCTGCAGCTCAATGTATACATGACTATCATGGAAGGCCATCCACCTCATTAAGGGGCCTGGCCATTAAGACAGGAGCAACAGTTGTGGACATGATGTGGGAGCGTCAGGACGAAGAGGATTGTTTCCCCCTCAGCAGCTCGGGTCATTAGCTCCAGCTCTGCTCCTCTAAAATGCTGATAATGATTGACTGTGAGAATGGAGACGCTGTTTGGGCAGAGATTAGACAGCAGTGGGACCATCACACCTAATTAAGCTGGTTCACCTCAAACAGCCTGACATTTGGCTCAAAGGTTGAGAGAAATCCCATACCCTGATCAGGAGAACCCAAGCCTTCACCTGATCAGATTTCAGGTAACAGAAAGACATGAAAATCCAACCTTCAGAGAGAGAAGATGAAGTTTATGAGACTATTGAAAAGATGCATAAACAGTTTTTCTCTGATATTATGGTGCAGGTAGGAAAACCTACAACACTACATTGGTTGTGCTGCACACTCCGGGTTTGCAGATCCTGAAAAAGTCGACTCATGTTAGACTTTCCAGACTGATCAGCAGCTGAAAAATGGGTAAAAAGACAAAGAGGGGCATTTAGGGTGGGGGGGTGTTTCATAGTTCAGAACATGCTCTACCACAGGATTCAATACGAACACACCGGCTGAAGGTGTTGCAGATTAGCCTGGCTGGGCCATCCTGTTGCATGAATCACTTGATGTTCCTTCCCACCACAGTCTGGACTTCGGCCCATAGAGAGCATGTATTCCTGATCAGAAAATAACCGGGTCAATCAGAGACCGTGTTTCCACTGTTACCCGGACAACAGGGAAAGGCAGCCCCTGATTGGTCCATGTGTAGTGGTGACGTCTAACACATGCTGCAGGACTTTTCAAAGCCCCGTTCATTCAGAACGCCGTTAATTCTGCAGTTGACTTTGCAAAGTCGGCAGAAATCGTTTAGATCCGATCTAAACGATTATGTGTTGTGATTATGTGTTGCAGGGCCGAAGTCCAGACTGTGGTGGGAAGGAACATCAAGTGATTCACGCAACAGGATGGCCCAACCAGGCTAGTTGCAGATAGACACTCAGCAGGGGTCTGCAGCTGTGCACCAGATCTGGTATGATCTGTATGATGATTCTTTATTGGGAGGGGCACCACAAAACAGCCCAGGGTAATAACATAATGGAAACAGGCTCAGTGATTGAGAACTTTTAACAGGATGTCAGTCCACCTTTGGATGGACTGGTGAAAAGTTGATGCAGAGACATTCCCCAGACTGCCAAAGCTGAACGGACCATATGATCTTACTGTATTTCTGCAGCTGCTCTGATTATGGCGCCTGGATTAGGTGGACTTATTTTTTTAAGTGGAACAAGACTGCAGAAACCTGGACACTGTGGCTCTAAAGGACTTCTCTGTTCTTTTAGTAGTTTGAGCCTCTCTCAGTGCTCCACATGAGCTGTGACCCCAAAAATGTGAGGTCAGGGCTCACAGATGACTGAAGCTGAAGTTTTTCAAAAGTGGGCTCATCTTACAATTAAAAAAATGAATTTTAAATCCTCCTAGTCCTCAATCTCCTCAGCACACAGCAGTCATCTCTGCACCTTTCTGTAGGATCTAGTTTCAGTCTGGCACCCTGCAGATTCTGGACTTCTTTGTCAGTTCAGCCCAACATCCAGAGTCTGAGCTATATGCCGGCTTTGCTCCTCCCTCTTCAACCCTCTCTTCTTCCCTCACTGCTCCTGTTTCTGCCCCCTGCTCATTTCTCTGCTCCTTCCTCTGCTCCCCTCTCTGCCTCTCGCTAACCCTGTTTTTTGTAAACTAACGAGGGATAGCAAGCATCAGATTTTCGCGCTCCCCCTCTTACACCCTTGAGAATGTGTCCTCTTGACTTATATTGCTTCCATCCTGATGGATCTACCAGGAGATTGAGGGGAGAGACAGGCCATTTTCAAAATGCTATATTCACCCATCATGTGTAAAAACATAGTCTGTCATAAAACTGATTATATTTTGGATGTTAACATGCATTGTGGGGGAAAAAGGGCTGGCAGACGGGAGATGGAGGGTGAGGGGGGGGTGAGGGGGAAGCCTTGATTAAAGGAAGATGCATGCGCCTCTATGAATCAGAAAGTGTAAATCAGGGCTGGATGTGGTGAGTAAACAGCCCATTAGATTTAAGCGAGCATCATCACGCTCCAAAGTCTCTGAATCTTCCTTTCTGCCTCTGCTGCTCCTTTAATGCTTCAGCACACTGACTTCCTGCCTGACTTCTGTAAATTTGTGCCTGTAAATATGTTGTTATACGTCCTACAGTTTCCCGGGGAGAGGAAGAATGTGTTTGTCGGCCTGGTGAGTTACTGCAGTGTGACAGACTGAGGCGCTCTCTGTGCGGGAAGTCTCCTCCAACATGATTCACCAGAGCAATAATGGGGCACTTAGGCATGCTCCGCTTTTTGCTTTTGCCCACATCATCATCATCATCACCATCAACAGCGGCAGCACGTCGCATGCACTCTGTCGTGCCCTCTGCACAACGGGCTGCAGAGGTCCGGCAGCAGCTGGACAGTAGCAGATGCACTTCTCAGAGAAGAGAAGAGGCGTGAGACGTGTGGCAGAGATGTGGGGGAATGGGGCAAGAAAGCATCTCTTCGTCTCTGCTGCTTGTCTGGTCAGCTCAAGCATTTCTGTCATCCTCTCTGCTCTTACAGGCAGCAGCTGAGCCAGTTGGAGCAGAGTCTCTGCACTCCTCTCTGCACTCGGCCTGGCGTCCGCCTACTCAGGGGTTGACATTTCCAGAGGTGCTAAGTCACTCAGCATCTTGTTTCTCCCTCTGATAAGTCGTGCCGCGTCATAGCAAGTGCCTGAAGACTTGAGCGGCGGCCAGGAGGAGAGGCCTCTTTAACACAAGTCACTGATCTCCCTGCTGGAGGTGCTCACATCCCAAGGTGTTTACAGAAGATCGGGCGAGGCGTCAATCATGCTTTTGGCGCACACGCTCTCCCCGCTGCTGGTCAGGTGTGAGTGGTGGTGTGAGGTCCAGGCTGGGGGATGGGTTGATGGAGAGGAAGGGCATCGTGGTGACAGCTCAGCGGTGTCAGCGGTCAGATCGCCCAAAACCAAACTTCATGGTTGATTTTGTTGGGTGCAGTGTCAGAGAGTGACACAAGCCCCCCACCCTGAGGAAAAAAAGAAGCTTGATGCACTTGTCATTTTGCACCGAGTGCAGTCTCAACACACCATGAAGGAGTCCGAGATCATCTGCTCACTCAGCCTGTCAGCCCCAGAGTTATCGGAGGGTTTAGAGAAAAGGTCACTCACTGCTGAACTGACTGTTCAGTGTGTCAGAGAAGGAGGGGCAGACCAGTGCAGGCGTTACCGCTGCAGAAATACAGTCAAATTCACCAGAGCTATAGGAATACAGATAAATATCAGCACATACACCAGAGCTGCAGAAATACAATAATTAAACATACACTACAGCTGCAGACATACAATAATCCAACATGCACCAGAGCTGAAGACATTTAATAATGAAACCTGGTATACAGGCAAAACAAAAACACATACACTACAGCTGCAAAAATACTGTCAAATTTAATCACATGCAACAGAGCTGCAAAAATACAGTCAGATATAAACACATATACCAGAGCTGCAGAAATACAACAATCAAAGATGGACTAGGGATGCAGAAATACAGCCAAATGTTAACCCATACACCACAACTGCAAAAATACAGTATGATATAAACACATACACCATAGCTGCAGAAAATCCGGTCTGATATAAACACATGGTAATGGCACTAATTTATGTACAGATGGCAAGATGTAATCGGTGCCCAAAACACAGGAGTCTGGTCTATTTATTTAGCTGTGCTGCCATCACTGTATTGGATGTGTCGTCTGTTGTTTTGCAGAGGTGGTTCAAAGTTGAAATGGTCATTGCTGGTGTTCTAGCCATTCAAATATCACACATGGCTTTGTGGTGTTTTTTTAAGTGTTGATAAAGGTTCATAGTGTTCTTTCTGACGTAGCAACAGTAGCTGGGCAGGCTCTGCACATTTTTTAGGCAGCAGCACCTTTTTTAGCCAAAATAAATCCACATGACTGACGTGCTGCTCCTCTTTGATATTACTCTCTGCAGTGTCAACTTTCTGTCGGGCATTAGCCCATAGTAAAACAGCATGCAGCATTGACTTCTCTCCCTGCCTGCTCTGCTTTGCTTCACTTGCATGTCACGTGACCAGATCACGCGACCAGTCAAAATCACAGCCTTTGCTGTTAGAAAATTGCATTTTATCAAATTGTGATGTAATCGGAAATGCAATAAATCGTTCAGCCCTACTGTGGAGTAAGGGTTTCTGTGAAGTTACTCATCAGATTCTTGAGAGTCTCAATTCCCTTTTCTATACAAACACACAAGCCTGTTTCCTGAAAAACCATAGACTGTATATAGAATGGAAGCTGTCTGCCCCCTCGCTGGGTGAAGCCACTCAGAGAATAGCATACTCTGGCAATGGGCTGCAGTATAGGTCATAAATCCTGCCTCTGCCAGCCATTCTTATGGGGCTGTGGACAAACCTTAGAAATTTATTACATAGCATATAATTTTTTCTTCCCCCTTGTTGCGATGTTGACATGTAGTTATTGTAAGACTGGTTTGTGCTCAAGATATTTTTTGTCTGTGCAGCTCCTTTTTATTAGGGGGTTCATGTTTTCTATGATTGACACTTCATACAGCCTACAGGGTGAAGATTGTGTAGCTCACCCGGGGGATACACTGTTTGAGACGAGTGTCATCACAGTGACTCTCGGCGGCTCACCCACCGAAAGCACACAATGCTACTGCGCAATGTTAGTTTCAGGAAGTGGAGAAGAAAACGTATACTGGCAGAAGGCGGAACCAAGTTGTCCATAGTATATACAGTCTATGTGAAAAACCCAGAATTAAACATGAGAGAATCTCAGGCTGTAATTCATTACAGCTCTCTCCCATGCTTCATGTGAAGGTTGGGTTCAGACTGCAGAGTCAGTGTCACTGGAATAAAGTCATGTTATCACACTTCTTTGTCTCTCTTACTGTCTGTAGTTTCATGAAATCTGCCAGTTTCCTGAGGATACCTTGGTTATCCTGGCTTAATTTGTCCGTGATCCAGTTGCACAAAGGCAGGATAGTGGGAAGCGGGATTGGTATGGCATAAGTTACCATGGAGATTTATCCTGTGAAGCTAGCTTGCTCCAGACCAGGCTAAATTCCGGGATTTATTAATTTTTATACCTTATCTTTGTCAGCAGTCACCACAAATGGAAACCAATGGTTATTCTACTGCCCACTACACAATGTTATCACATTCAACTAGACCCACTGTCATTATCTAAACATCTGGGATATTAATTTTCAATAATATTATTTTTTTAAATTGTAGATGATTTTGCAATCATTAGGTAATTTACAGTTTCCCATAGACTACACATGCCATATAAATATAAATACACATCCATGAGAGTGACATGAAGTTCCTTTATCAAATAAGGATAAATCAAAGCAAAAGAACCATCAGCTCCTTTCAAAACTAAAGTCACACAGTGACTCAAAAAGATAGAAAGCACAGAATCAAAGCACACTATACAGCCTAAGAATAAAAACACACAGTATGCAACACAAACATCATAAGATGTCAGATCAACTCATATTGAAATAAAAAAAGGACAGGACATATTTAACTGAAATTTAAAGGATGGATGTTTACTCAAATAATTTAACACATCAGCCAACTGCTGTCGGTCATCAGGGAAGATGGCGGGATTGTCCCAGTCCATGTGTCATGGCACTCTGGGGGCCCTCTCCTTCTTCCACATTGTGGAGGATAGTACAGACCACAGTGATGTCACAGGTCCTCAAAGGGCTGACCCTGAAGTCTTGAGGACAGTGAAAGCGCAGCTTCAAAAGGCCAAAGGTCATTTCAAAGCTGGAATACAAAAAGAAGATAGAGAGGAATCTACAAAACATCTGCAACATCCGTAAGATGTGAGGAGGAATCAGTACCATCTCTGGACACGACAATAAAAAGAAAAAACAGCCAGTGGTGGGTGATGTGGAA